TAGTACTTTTTCTTCAGCTATCATGGGTGATATACCACCATCATGGATGAGTAATGTCTACTACCATAAAGTTTGTTTCCAAACACAAAAAATTGTTGCCAAACACTGGGTAGGATAGGTTAGGCCACTTTATGCCACCCTACCATATCTCTAGTGGCATAAATGTGGCTAAGTGCTTAAGATGTAATTCAGGTAGAAATCATGAAAAGAAGATAAGATGGAATAGCATTGTGATATGTTCCACTTAGAGTTGTTTCTTTGCATATTCCATTGACAGGCTGGGTAGCGGATGAGAATGCCTTTCTCATATGATGTACTTTGCCAGTAGTTTATCCGCAACTCTTAATGGTTGTTTTTTTTTTTGAAATATAGGGGAATGTTTGTTATGTGTGGATTTCAATATATTTGTGAAATGGTTTGCACCATTGCTCTCTTGCCTCAAGACATATAACAATTTATTTATGTGGCTTATTGAAATATATTTGCTTGCAATTTTGATTTCAGGCCGCTTCAGGTACGAAGGGTGGGTCAAGTGGGTCCCCAGTCATTGATTGGCAGGGCAGGGCTGTCGCCTTGAATGCTGGGAGCAAGTCGTCTAGTGCTTCAGCCTTCTTCTTGCCTCTGGAACGTGTGAGTGTTTAGTGTTTATCTTCCTAACTGACTAATCATGGTCCTTTCGGTATAACTTCTTCATAAGTGTGTCCCAGTTTCTTCTAGAATGAATAACTGTTAAATATAAAATAATAAAATTGTTAATCTCTAATGTCAAAATAAAGTTGGTTATTCTTTTTCAGCCTAACTTTTATGGAATAATAGGTCACTCAGCTAAAGTGACATATAGAAATGGGAAATTGTAAATACACAGTGCATATTGGCTTTTTGTTTATGGTTGAATTAGATTACATTAGCATTTAAGCACGTGACTAGATATGTACTGACATTGGTCACTCTCTCTTTTTTTTTTTTTTTGATTTACTTGTGTTTGCTGTTTTGTTATTGTTCCTTGCACATGCTGGGTGTGTATGATCAATGTACTTCTTAAAGTGATTGGAAAGTTTTCCTTCTCTGGTGGTATGATTTTTTCCATTTAGAAATTATGTAGTTAGTTTCAGATATTGTTACCACGAAAAAAAGGAGTTTCAGATATTGAAGCAAAGTTCTTCTTGATTCAAGCATCATAAAAAAAAATGTGTATGTTCTCCCTTCTATATTTTCTTATCTAACTTTGGAAGTTAATACAAAATATGGATATGGTTTTTGTGCACACTGAAAAAACAATATAGTAGCATCTATAGTGATTAGAAATTTTCATACAAATATCTAAAGCAAATCTCTGGACTGAAGAGCATTTAAATTGTCTTTCTTTTCTGAATGTTGGAAGAATGCATGCAAGATTATTCATTATATGTATATAAGGTGTTTTTTTTTCCTTTTCCTTTCCTTTTTGAATTTGTCCATGACCATATGAGCCCTTTGTTCAAATATTTCCACCACGTGAACTCTGGTAATGGGTAATGTGTTTAGTTTCAGATTTATATTTTTTCACTAGTCTTGCATTATCATATCCGTGCTATTGGTGGTGGTAGCTAGTTAGCTACTCATATAAATGAGTGCCTATCTATGACATATGCACATACACTTTTAGTGTTAAATCACATGTTTTCATGGTGATTTTTATTGTCATTTTATGTCTTAATGCCATTATTTTATGTTTTAATGCCATTCAGATTTGCTTTGGCTTTTGGGACAACTATCTGAGTTTCACATTTCCCTGTTGCACTCTATTTCTGGAATCTTCACCATTTGTTGCTGCCAGATTTTTATAAAAAAGTTCTTTTCAGATTGATTGGTATTAAAAGCTGTGACACCATTCATCTTGCAGGTTGTAAGGGCATTAAAACTTCTTCAGACCAGCAGTGAGTCTTATGTGACTAAGTGGAAGGCAATATCCATTCCTCGCGGTACACTCCAGGTTTGTTGTTTGGGCCGCCTCCTCTTCTTCGGTTCTTTTCTTTTTGATTGTTAAACATTAAGTGGAAGTTATATTAGAACTGTTGAAGGCAGTTCGGTAAAGATAGCTGATATTGTCAACAAAAATGATGGGTTTTAATACAGAAGTACAGCATTAATCTCATACCATCATGAGGTGCATACCTTATACAATGAATACATATACGTCAACTAACATTAGTATATCTATTAGGTCCTCTAACTAATGCACTATAAATGGAGTAGCATGATCACTAAACCACAGGTCTAGAGTAGGCACCAATTGTTTCCAACTCCATGGAGGGGAGATTCAATAACCTTCCAAAATTTTTCGAAAAAAGCTTTTGAAATTTCTCTGCTTCCTCTGTTTTCCAGATTACCCACAAAGTGCTGGCTCTTGTGGAATAATTTGTCTCAAATATCTGATACTGTAGATCCCCCAACTAACCAAATCAAGCTTCAAAATGGGGAAGACTCTTGCTTGTTGTCCCGACCCATTAGATCAAAATGCACCATAAAAGAAAATGTCCTGGGAACTTCTTGCTTTTTACCAAAAAAAAGCTGTTAGCAAGAGTCTTAAACCTCTGCACTTGCATGATAGTATGTTTTTATGTGCTTAAGATTCCTTTTCTTAGTCGGATTCCTTTCTTGGTCTAATTGTTATTTAGTTAGATATAAACAACTCAACATAAAACGTTGCTGCTGTCTCTATTAGTATATCTTTAGGTGTACAAAAATTGTGAGTGATCTTCATCACAAAATTTTTAAATACCAACTCAATTATGATGGATGTTTCAAAATAAACGGGTTAATATAATCATTCTCATGATTTTCGGTGTTCCTATGGCATTAATATGGAGCCATGTTGTTATGTATACGAAGATATATTATCTGTGTTATTTCTGCATATTGTTTTGGTTATGTTTTATGTCTGATCTAGTATCTGTTATTTATAACTATTTTGATAAGAATCCAGCATCAATTATCTGTGATGTAGATGACCTTTGTCCATAAAGG